ATATATATATATATATATAAATTTTGTTTCTGATGATTTTATTAGCATTATACGAAATAAACTGTCACATTACATATGAAAAGTGAACACAAACAGTATAAGATACCAAATAGTGGAAAAGTTTACCATGAGGATTCATCCCCTCAAGCCACACCAGAATCAATGAGTCATGTCACCTCATTCCATACCCAAAATGATTGGGGATTGTCACATTTTCATAATTAATTCAAAATTGAAAGCACATATTCTTACGATAAAAATTCTTTGACCTTTATTAAAAAATATAATATTAATATTTTTTTTGGAAATATTAATATAAACAAGAAGAAAAGAATCTGTGGACTCACATGCAATGATTACTATAAGTAGATTACAAATTTAAAAATTAAAATCTGATAAAACCAATATTATCTCTTTTTAGCAACTATAATTTTGAACTAGCATGTGAAAAATATTTGATAAAATGATATGTAAAGCAAACTTTAAAGTAATTAGATAAACAGTTCTTTTTAAGAAGCACGTGGTTTTATATTTCATTTTGTTTGATAGCAATTCATGTTATGTGTCAGGTTAAGTTAATATAAATAAAAGTCTTATTCAAAATCAATAAACAAATATACATAAATTAAGATCATGATCACAAAATAAGAAAGAAACACGATATAAACAATCATGGAATTTATGAAATTTATGTAATCAATTAGAATTAAATGATTTAATGGGTGATAAGTTTGATCGAGTCTAAAGCTCTAACTGAATTTGTCTCCATATAAATTTTCAATTGCATGCCATAAAAATTGATTATGTGGCAAAATTATATTTGATGCCGAATATACAACATTATATGCTATTTTTTATATATATATTTTAATACGAAAAGTGTAATAAGGTTTTAAAAGTTGTGAAAAAACAAGGATTCGTTTATTGAATGAATGTGATTGGGGCGCTCAAAACACCATTCTTCCGAATCTCAATCTTCTGACATAATATATATGAGAGAGTACAATTATAGTAAAGGTACAGCATTTGATGCATAATGTACAAATTCGAACAAAATAAGGCATAAAGAAATGAATGAGATGAGATTTGTTCATTCATGGTCGATTAGGTTCAGTGTTTGAAGACGTGCACGAATACACTGGCAACACCCATGGTTGATAGGTTTAGTGTTTTTTTTATGAGAAAATATGTGAAAGGTTAAAAATGTAAAAAGTATTAAAATATCTTTTACTATTACGAAAAAAAATGTCATTATAACTAGAAGGCTTTTGGTGGTCTTATTGGCGCATACCACGGTGGGGTCTTCGACTCGGGTGAAGTCGTAATAAGGTAGCCGTAGGGGAACCTGTGGCTGGATTGAATCCTTCGCGATAGAAATTCCCTTCAAGGTGCTTGCTTCCACTGGTGGCGGGCGGGCGAAGGGTCCAACTAGAGATGACAACGGTTCCGGAGTATTAGGATCGAGTCTCCATTATAATCCCACCCTCAACCGGGAGTTATGGATTTTCTTTGTTGAAGTTACAATCATAAGTTTACAAATCTTAATCGACGTTAGTTCATATATATGCGTTTATAGATTTTAAAATTATAAGAATCGATTTTTTTGTAAATAATAAATGATCAAAGAATTCTTATATCAGCCTATTTATCTTCTGTAGTTGGATCTCTAAGTTTTTGGAATGCACTAATTTCTACTAATTGATTGGTTAAAGAATACTTTTATCAGTTGAGTGTTTCAACATATTTATTAAGTTTTTTTCCCCAAACATATCATTTATTAATTATAAAAAAAAAAAATCATATGTCGTTTATGTTATTTTATATATTCCAACCAGTTTATCATTAGTTTTTATCAAACATTATTTTTTATCGGTTAGTTTTTAGCTAATGCATCATCTTGCAACCTCAATGCTAGTTACCACCCACCTACCTATTTCACATAGATGAAAACAACAAAATTCAACCCTTAAAAGCAAAGTACAAATGTTTAAAAGAACAATTAAAATAATAGTATATAAAAAGAACTAAATAATCATAGAACTAAAATACTAGCCACTAGGCATTAGGCAATAACATTAAGATGAACACAAACAATTTGCCCATTAATCCACTTGCTCCCATTCCCATAAAGCGCCTTTTGCCGTCCAATTTGATTGAAAGAGCCATACTTTTCCACTAAAGCCCAAAAGATATACCACCAAGCAGCTTTAATAATATCATGGTCGGAATACAAGTCTTGGAATCTTTTTGATATCAAAAGCCCATTACAATCTTTAAACGTAACCCATCTAGGACCCAACAAAAGAAAGAACTAAATTGGATCTTCCAAATGTCAAGCGGAACCCATCTTTAACCTCAAAAAACATATATGATCACAGTTTACCTAACACTTCAAATCACATTAAACTATGACTTCATAATACACCTTTCACTTCCATCTTTCTTAGGCCATGGGGTATGGTCACTAGGTATTCACTAGAAAAGTGATGCCACCTATACGCCACATCACCCCACTTACATGTTCACTACATGTTTACTAATCCTTGGAAATGGTTATCACTCCACATTTGTAACATCCGGATTTCCAGGGACATTATCGTGTATGTTAATCTTGAGATTTAAGGAGGGACTCGACGAGTGGAGGGACCAACTCGCCGAGTCGAGTCGAGTTCATCGCGTGGATTTAATGAAGGACTTGACGAGTCCGAGGAGGGACTCGCCGAGTAGGTACTGGGCAGAGAAACCCTAATTTCCCGGGTTTGAGACCTATTTAAAGGAACTTATAGCCTCATTTGCGGTTACCCTTCCTTAAGAGCAA